GGGCATTTTAATATCTTGTAGACTATCTAAGATGGCAAAGAACATTGAATCGTTGGAATCCAATAGAAACCAGGGTATCTATGGATAATAATCAGGGTCAGTAAGCAAGACTATTTTGTTACCGAGTGCTGAAACTCATTATTGAGAAATCCTGACTCAAGGCATGCTAGATCGTATCACAGCAAGGTTTTTAGAATCATGGTCTTTTTCTTTTCCTGATTTTTTTTGAGATCGCTTCCCCGTTGCCATCAGTGTATGCCTGTCAGGAAAGGCTTCTCATACCAGATGAGCTTGATCATCCTCCGACACCCACGATCGATGTACATGTATGTATCTTCATTGAAACCCGGAGTGCCGTGGCCCGGGCGTCAGGATGTCTTTCTCCGATGGGTGATAGCTCAGTTCCAACATACACTTTGTCTTCTGATATATCTTGAAGCCTAAAGCATAGATTGAGGTGTTGAATGGTAATTCGGAAGCCATTTACAAGTGCTCGGCGAGCTTTCTGGTATTGCCCTAATATCCAACGTAATTCGTTGTCGATTCTTGGAGCGGGTTTGTCTGATTCATCTTTGTCCAAGGCTTGCTGCAAAACCTGCGTAGTGCCAGATGCTTCGGCAGGGATACCAGGCGCTTTGGTGACCTCCTTGACAATACCCTCATCTACGTCACCCAGGCTTTCATGTAGATCGCAACCTTGGCTGCTTGGCTGAGATAATTGGAATTTTGGTTTGATAGAAAGTTCTCCCAGAACCATCTGACTTAAGCAAGGATTTCAGGCGGTACGCAATACACCACGTGTTTCGATCTTTGGATAAGGACGCCTTTGGCGGAGATGATTGTACTTCCTTGTCGGAAGCATATATGATAGAACAAGGGCTATATGTCTCAAAAGGTCTCTTCTCGCTGGGTTGAAAGTCCCTCGTCACTTTCAAAGATTCTCCCAGTGGACTAGGCGTTGAGTGTTGGCTTCTGAAGCTAGAAGCTGTTTTTCTGTTCTAAGAGACCTTCCTACCACAAGAATCGCAACGGCGACTTAGTTACATCATGCAGGTCTGGACATCCAATTCTGCGGATAAAGTGAATTTCATAAAATCTACAGTTTGGGTTACAATTGCGGCCAGGAAGCACGAGTCGGCGACATTTGAGGGAACAAAATATGATGTCAAAACATCAGATGTGGCGTCTCTAGGCCCTGTACAAGAGTCTTTGTTTTAGATTGTCTCAACATGAGCAAATAAAATTGGATCAGCTAAAACACCTCTCGAAGAGAAAAGGAGCTCTGAAAGCCCTCTGATATTGGTTGTTCGAGGATAAAATTGAGGGTCACCTATAGACTTGGGTAGCGCCTTAGATGTCATCGAAGCATTTTAGATGTGTTTTGTTTTACGTTGCAAGACTGAAATCAGTTGGTACAGTCAATTTTGATCTGTCGATCACATAGAAGGTTGAAACAGCACACATTTCCCAAGAGGTCTAAGAAGCTGCCTCATAGATAGCGAAGATAGTAAAACTTGATGATCTGGATGCCTCTATAATGGCCATATCTTGCAAAATGGAGGAGCAGAGAAAGTCGGGCAATCAATAAGGCGAGAGGGTGGCTTCATAGAACCACACTCAAGGGGAGCTCTACACATCACACGGACATGATCATTAATACAACTATCCAGTCCCCCAATACTCCAAGATTCTAGGGAAAGATCACCTTTTCTCACGCTCATCACCTATTTCCATCAATTTCTTTCAAGAATACTGCATAAAAGTGAAGTAAAAGCGCGGTCAAAGCAAAGTGAGAGAAGGGTCAGAGAAATATAAGTGACGTTCAAGTGGAATATGAAGGATACTAGAGGACCTTTGGGTCAGTACTAAAAGACTATGGAATGAAAGTGAGGCGGTGACGCATATGTAGCAATATCTATGACTTGTATCAAATTTTAATAAGTACAACACTCAAGGGTGCCATATCTTCATCAAGCAAGACCGCATGTTCAAATCCATTATTCAAGCGAGAGAGCTAGATCAGTTTTATTGACATGTTAGCGGGGTAATACAGTATCCTTTCTTCTTGTCTGTTAGACCTCACTTATAAATGCCTTGCTTTTCATAGATTGACGGATCAAGACTTCCTTCTCTTCCTCCTCCACCTCCATTGCATCCCCGCCCCAACAACTCGCCAGTAGCCACAGCAAAGTGGTTTCTCGATATCAGTAGGGGAGAGGGGCCTTTTTTGCACCCTTTGACCGAACCATCGAATTGTACGCCGTGATGTGGCAGAGGAGTGGATGAGGCTGTCAAGTTTCCAGCATCTCTCGACCATCTGCGAGTGCCTCGCCTTTCTTATTTCTGGTTTTTGGCCCCATGGAACAGAAACTAATACTGGAGAGGCTGAGATGTTCAGAGATGTGGTGTCATTCGATCGAGCCTGCGATATCATCTATAACGTCTCAAAAGTCAGAAAATGGTGGAGCTCCGAATTGGATTTCCTGCATCTCGATCCCGCAAACACGCATCGGACGCCATGTCAGAAGATGAGCCGAAGCATGAGTTTGAGGAAGGCAGCAGTATATTTGACCAGGGTCTCGTTCAGCTTCCGTCAAGTGGCCGTTGCGGATGCGGTTCGTCACCTCCTCGCCAGCTTCGATAATTTTTTGAAAGCTCATCGCCGTGTCCATGGGCTGACTGGCGTCAATGTGACTCGCGTACGTGCCTTTCTTTCAGGTGCTTCTGCAGTGCTGACATCTGTTAGGAGACCCGGGATGCCTCCTGGTGGGTCTCCAGCCGTGTTTCATTGGTGGTCCCTAACCCTGCCGTCCCTACCTCTACCCTCGAGTTCGCCAAATTGGCCAACGAGGCCACGCAACACCCCCAGCTCCATGTGACTGAGGAGACGGCACGAAGCTGGTACACCGGTGTTGTGGCCTTTCGCCAAGGTATTCAGGACCTTGTGGATGATGCCAAGGCAGAGAGCCTTGAGGAAGATGTGACTCAGTGCCTCGATGCCCATATGGGCATTTTCCCTCTGAACCCCCGCATTTAAGGGTGTGTTCTCGTCCTCTTTTCGCTGGCGTTGCGGTGGTGTCCCTTGGTGTTTTCTGGGTTTTTTCTGTGTCTCTTCTGCTTTGTCCGCCGTGGTGAGACGGTCTGGACAATTATTTGTAACATCCAATTTTCGGCACCGTTCCGGGTTTGGTTCGGTGATTCAATATCAACCATTCTGCTTTTTCTTGATTCATTTGTATCTTGCTATCATTTCTGGTGCATTTGTCATATCGTCCTCTGGGACCTAAAAAATCAAGCGAGATCAGCACGACCAGGCATCGAAACAGGGCCGGAACGAAACAGGTCACTTACAGACTCGCAAGGCTTATGCAGATGGTTGCAATGCTGGTAGTTCTTACTATCGTAAGTCTCTGCAAAACAACGAATGGAGAAAACCTATAGGGACCGCGAGTCAGTGTCGGTCCACCCCTGAAGAGACACCCGTAAGCACGTTATACACTAGGTAAACTGCCGTAAGATAGGCCGTACTAGCTTATAGGGAAAATTGCGAATAGGAGGTATGATAGGAAGGTGCCGATTCGATACTAGTATAACCACGAAAAAGGACCAAAAAGAAGGCTATTTAACAACGAAGTAGTGGATTAAAAGTAAGAAAGATAAAGAAAACAAAAGGGAAAAGACTATACAGAAAATATAAATAAACCTAGTCGCGTTACTATAGAATACCTATCACGACGCGGAAATAGGAGGGAACTATAAGGGTTATACCTTCCTTATAAACCACCCTAATAAAACAAGACGGATTTAGATTATATTAACTACTTAATAGCCTCCTTATTATATCTGAATTCCACGTGCGACTGTCGTGATTGGACACTGATTCTGCCTTCTTTCCTGGCCCATTGCTGCATGTTCGGATATCGTGTCTCCTTCTCGTGATATTTACCAGTCATTAGTATGTTCAAACACTGTAGCCCTATTTTGAAAGAAAGTCGCTCGTTTCCAGCTTTTTATCAGCCTCTTTGTTCGCAGCATAGTTTTAGCCAGACCTTTCAGACTCATCTCGACCTTATCGATATCTTGGGGTGGTATAGTTTATTGACAAGTAGAGGTAGTGACCGGCTCTAGTCATCGGCCCCAGCCAGCTAGCTCACTCGGCGTATAAACCTCAGAAACTCTCGAAGGTTGAGGCCCGTCCGTTACTCAGGAGTAGTTGAATAGAATCCTAGCAACGTTGTCGAGCTGTGAACCTAGAGAAACAAATCAGGTCACAAGAACAAAGAGCCTCAAACGGCCTGTAAGTCGGTGTATCATATGGGCTGTACCGGACGGACACATCAAGGCGGGGTTGGGTATACTGTAATAGATCAATCTCGTCGCCCGGGTATTCTAGCGATCGATAATTCGACGGAATGATTCGGTGGATAATGGACGGATCTGTCGATAAAATTCCGGGATGGACAATCAATGAGAAGCTAGGAGCAATAGAAACATGGTAGTGGATGGAAACATCCGGAGTGCTGCCGTATTGCCACATTGAGACCTCAGGTTACATTCATGGATGAGGCTAATGAGGCTCATGAGGCTCAGTACATCGGCCCGAGAACCTGGACCCGGTAAAAGGCCTATCCACTCCGGTTTTCCCCTTGTCTCCCCTCAATTCTCCACTTATCAGTTCCAGTCCACGTCACATATTGTATCATCTGGCCTAAACAATACATATTCGGGACTTGTGATCGACTCGATTGTCTAAACCACGATTACTACACTGCCCGGTTCACCTCTTATTGGTCAGCACGATGCCATCTCGTACCAAAATCCCTCGAACACTGTGGCTTGCAATAAGGTGCAGCAAAGTCACATTTCCTTCCACTCACTAGTTGGGCTCTTTAACGTAGCATCACCGTTGGATTTCCAATTTATAAATCTCCTATCCCCATCCGGGCGATCCAACTCACCAGAGGTATCCTGCCCATTACTTTACCTCTATAGTACCAACAATGGCGTGGTCTCCAGTCAACATCTCCTCGAATTCTTCTAGTATCTCTGGCCACGGTCGGAGTGCGAGAGATCTACACTATCCCTATGCAGCTGCTGCTCATCAGTACCCTCCCTCACTAGCGACAGAGCCATCAATGTTCTCCGACAACCAATCTCCGTGCAATACACTCACGCAACACCCCTTCCCGCCAGTTCATCACAGCTACCCCGTGCCTTTTGCCTCGGCCCATGCCGAAATCAATCCTCCCAATCACAACACGGTACACTATTCCTTGGCTGGAAACAGTAGACCTGGTCAGTCCTCAACCATGGCCTATCTCTGCTCTGGACATAGTACTGCATATACTCCGCCATCGGCATCAGGGGTCTCCACTCCCTCTATGCAAGACATCCCCAAGTCAGGTGTGAGTAGACGGGAAGTCCAGACTCTCTGTGGCGCAGGGCGAACACTCAAACAAAAACACTCGCAAGCCTTCCCTCTACCGTCAAACTAGTATATCATCGCTGGGCTAACATCATCCATGTTCTTCTAGGGAACTTCGCGGCACGTACCAATGCAATTGGAGAGACTGCAAATATCGCGGCGTCTTCTCCCGCAAGGGAGTCCTCATGCGTCATATAGAAACGCAGCATGTCGCACCGCGCTCATTTGACTGCCCAGTCTGTGGCAATCTCTTCTGTCGACGGGACAATCTGACGGAGCACCTAGGCAGAGTTCATCGCAAGCGAACCTGATGGGATTCCAGTTTGTAGCGCTGGAGTCACTGGGAGAATTTGGGTGAAGTGTGAATTATGGTTGATCGGTTTGATGTGGAGATTTGATGATACCCAGGGCGTTGGAACCTGTTTTATTTTATCGTCTTTTTTCTTTTTTTCTTTTTGCATGATTTTCTGGTTGGTTGGGGGTCATAGTGCAATGGGTGGAACGGAGCAGGACAATAATTATTAATGTAGTGATGATAATAGGAGAGCACTGCGCCCCATCCTTTGCATATACGAGCCCTGCATATGTGGCTCCCGTCACATGCAAGAGGTGCTTCCCTGGGTATGCCCCAACATTCGGGTCTCTTTTGCATGATTTCCGGGGTAAATGCGGGATCGATCTGTACACCTTCAGCCGTACCAACTTCCCGGAACCCTCACTTGACGGTAAAACGTCCCGTCAACATCGGAACATTTAAATATCCCGTGCTATGGCTATGACTACATTGGACCCCTTGGAGTAGATAATCCAACAATAATTTAAATATCTCAATGGTTTTAACCCCCGAGGCGCTAAACCTCTTTGATGCAATGTAACCCTGATCCCTGACACACATCCATGTTCAATCCATCTGTGCTTCACATAGTGAGGCTTTTTGGACAAATTCCCCGTTGCCATCAGAGTCTAACTGCATGACGAAAGAAATCGTAAAAGGAGAAAGACATCGACATAAAAAAAATGATATAAAGTGTCAAAAAAAGAAAATCAGGAAGGAGCGTCTGCCGATCTCTCGTATATTCCAATCAGCCTTGGGGACTCCGCGTGGACATGAATATCCCAAGATCTGCGTTTTGCAGATAAGACAAGTCAACCAAGCAGGACAAGCTTGTTGGATTGGACAAGAGCCAATTCTTATTACACCCGGGTTGATGGAAATGAAAATAGTATGTCAAAGCTTCAGCCGCGTGTGCATTCCACGTCCCCAGGGTGAATTACACTGTATGCCCCATGTAAGCTAGTAACGACCTAACCAAGTTCGAGGGTCATCATGCGTGTCGATCACTCTTCGCCCCCCTAATTTGAAATTTCGTTCAGCGTCAATGCTGTATTAGTTTGGTTGGCTTGACGTCTGCAGGAATATCACACTTCAAATGATCCTTCTGTCCCTTTGGCTTCCCGATTTTCTGGGAAGACCGAGAAAATAAAGTCACAAATGATAAGTTTCCAGTAGCCAAGGAGTGAAATACCAGGATGTTATACTCAGCCCACTAAAAGAAAGTGACAACCAATGATGCCTGTTGTATTTGGAATCGTGGTGCTTGGCCCTCCAGAAATACTGAACTTGACTCGACGCAGGAGATAATCCCTGTTTCTAGAACGTAAGATATGTTTTCTAGAGCGAAAGGTGAGTCTTCTGGAACAAATCCGGGGGTCAATCCAGTTGCGTCCGTCTGGTCAGGTTTGATCCCACCTGTTTTTTTCTTTTTCCTCTTTTCATTTGCCCACCTTCCTCTATTCGTAGCGTGTAATCTCCCAAACTACGTCTTTTAGTTGAAATTCGCATCCAGTGTGCCCTAAACTACATTAACTTGAGTTGTATAAATAGTCCGGTCCCCGTCATCGACTCAAAGAAGTATTCTCCTACATCACCGCCCACTCATCATTCCTATGATAGGATTCTCTCCACTTTATCAACGCTGATCCTCTACATTCAGGTCGGCCATTATACATATGATGGCATGGTCAACACGTAACACCCCAATTACCCCGGAGGCCGGGTTTCCGTGGTCCAATGCCGAGTTGGAGAATTGGAGTCCCGATCATCTCCATCTCAAACAACCCGAAGCTCTTTTCATGCCTCGTTCCCCTGCTCTATCTATCACCGCGAGGACACCCGTCACTCGACCTCTGGCATACAACTATCAGTTGCAGCTGCCATTCACACAGTCCCCCTCCACACCAACTGCCCTTGGGGCTATGCTATCCCCCACTCCTTCGTCGTCGTATCTAGATCCAGGCACCATCAAGCATTCCGTCAACAACCACAGTCCAAGATCTGTTCCTGCCCCAGCTCTCGGCACCGTACCCGCCCTTTCTCCAGCAAGCAACTACGACACTGGATATTCTAGTTCTTGGGATGATCTTCCAGTCTCAACCCCCATTATACAAGAGACACTTGAGTCGGATGAAGCGAGCAATGAGCTTAGCCAGAACAAAAGGTCTCGTACTCTGCGCGGTGGAGGCAAAATAAAGTATGTTTTTTTACTCTTGCAATGTCCTTTTCCTGAGACTATCGTGATCCTTGTATGCATATACTGAACGCATTTCGTCTAGGGCCAGGGACAGTGAGAGTTACGGAACTTTCAAATGCGAATGGAAGGGCTGTCGATATGACCGTCTCTTCTCGCGCAAAGGAGTCCTTATGCGCCACATTGAGACTCAGCATGTGACTCCGGGGGCTTTCAAGTGTCCCGATCCCGGATGTGGCCGTGCTTTCAATCGACGGGAGAATCTGAAAGCACATAGACAAACGATTCACCATGAATTTTTCTGAATATGCGGGATGGAATACGATGAATGCCTTGATGTTAGGAGTTTAGAATATTCGGTTTACTTTCATACACTTGGTGATATATACTTCGGCTAGAGTGGAGTTCGGATCGGATTTTTATGTTGGAATATATATCGTGACTTTTTCCTTGTTGACTTTGTGGAGATATTGAAGATGTAGACTAGCATGTGGGTGTTGAAATTGAAATGAAAATGACACAGAACACGGAAAAACAATGTACTATCTGATAAAAGGACGAAAAAGAGAGTGCCCTCTACTTCCATGTTCAGGTGGTTGACATGGGGAGGATCCACATCATAACCTGGGGAATCAGGCCGAATAAGGCCACGCAGGGTCTATGGGTGCTAGAGCTATATTTAATTTGGAGTTGTTACGGGGTCTGCTTATCTGGTTGCCATGGGAGTATAGTTTATGTTCACAAAAACAAGCATGCCATGGTAGATTGGAGCCAGAGCAAGAAAATACAATTTCTTCTAGAACAAAAGACGGAGGCAAAGAACGCACGAAGAAGCGGATCGATTGACCGGTCTGTTGAAAATTTGAAATGGTATGGAATTTGGTGCGTTTAAGCGTCAGATACACAATGGGAGAAGTGACGCTGCGCGACCAGACACATCATGCTCGCCAATTGTAAGAACAAGGAGAAATATCGAGACGAAGCTCGTTCCCAGTATCTTGGGGTCGACACAGCTATGAAAGTGTAAATTTTTTTGATTCGTAGGGCTTTGTTGGCCCTGCCTTCTCCCACGAACAAAACGTTATCAACCCGCCAACTCCATCACCTCAAATCAACATCGGCTCGTTCCGTCGACTTTTCCTTGCCTAACCGACCGTCTGTGCGAAGAAGGGAATCGCCCACTAAAAACAACACAAAGAAGCCGTTTAGATGTTGGAGGGGTAGAGCATAACGCGGACGGTAGCGCCGAGGGACTTGGGGGGGAGGTTGTTGCGGAACTTGGCGCGCACAACACCGGAGTTGCCTAGAGCGAGTCAGATAAGAACGACACTCGAATTCGAGGTTCCCCAGACTCAAGAAGGTCCATTTTCGAGATGGCCCTTGAGACTGGTTCTTCCAATTGACGTACCGTGCGGCCGGGTGACCTTGCCCCAGATCACCCGAATGTTGGAGCCGCGGACCTCACGCTTAGCACGGTAAACGAAAGCGACCTTCTTGCCAAGGTAGAACTTGGCGGACTTGGTGTCATCAACACCCTCGATCTTGACCAAGCTGTATAACCATATATCAGATTCCATTCATCGATTCATGTGCGCAGGGTGTAGATACCTGGTGTTGGGGGTAAGGGCGTGCTTGCTGCGCTGGAAGCTCAGGTGACGTCCCCTGTGAAAAAGAAATTCGTATTAATCCTCTGTCCATCTCGTGTGTGTTGGTTCCAATTTGAGTGGCGATGGCGATGTCTTGTGTTCCCCAAATCGGTCCTCCCATGTCGAACTGGTGTATCCTTTTGAATGCGATGAAAGTGCGGCGGTAACTTACTTGACGTAGACTAGAAAAGGATAAATAATTAGTACATGTTATTTTTGATCCAGCGTGATCGCACACAAGGTGTCTGCTCGAGATGCGGCGTTGCGATTTCAAGACCACCAAAACGACGATCGATAAGAACTTCGAGGGGATTCACTCACGGCGGTGTCCTTGTTCCGAAGGCATTGTGTCGGCGTTTCTCTGGGGAGCGGGCAAGGAAAGAAAGTCGAAGGAATGACCCGCAAGATCAAAAGTCGTTCCCGTTTGTCGTGGTTGTCGTCGCTTCGATAGAGTCAGGCGCACAATCAATTTCCAGCCGGTGTGTTGGCTTCCGCCCTAGCCCAAACGGGATCTTAGCGAGCCAATCTCACGTGACAGTCAGGGCTAAGCGAGATCCCGTGATAGACCATACCGCTCCTCGTCTTACATCAGCTAGATAGGCAGAATTCTGAGATAAGCTTTGGACTTTTGTTTCTCCGATCCAGATTTATCCACCCGGTGGTTTTCTGCCACTCGGGCTACAGTAGTCCGACTCCCTCCACTGCAGCTTGATCAAGCTGACAAACCTCAGCCATGACGACAGTCCCAGCTTTGGAAGGGTTGGCAGGTTTCAAAAAGCAATATGCACAAGGCTATCGGTAGATCTGCCGAATCTCTGCAGTGTGTAGCACACAGATATATTCTTCACAGCTTGAGAACACAGAATATAATCGATACCTTCAATATATCCAATCACCTACCTACGTTATAGATAGAGTGACATGATCCGGGTCGCATTCCGGCGCATATACTTCAGACCGAGACCACTGATTGGGAAATCTAGAAGTTCCAGTATGCCCCACCTCGTCGGATCGATTACATTTGCGACCGGGTATTGATCAAAACTGGGGGGCAATTTACAAGCCGACTCGTGCGAGAGATCTCAACAAGAATCATCTACGGAGTAGTGTATAGTGAGATAGTGTGTGAGATGGTGTAGTTGTAGGTAGCATATGTAGTCAAGTACTCCGCGGTTAATTTACCGGGGGCACCTTCAACCGGGTTAATAGCAAGAAGGGTCGGGAAAATAGAATCCGTCTGGCTCGAGAAAATGACAAATGCGCCGATCCGTCCCCACGATTTGGGTCACCGGTCGAGGGTTTCTTATCGAGTTGCGTGCTCAAGGTACGTGGTATTGTACCTGTTCTTGCAGGTTCGGTACTTTAATGATTTCAGTGCACTGCAACCTTCCCCTCGATGCGGTGGCTTGTCTGCTCCGCTTTAGATACATGTATTAAACTATACATATCTAGGCCAAAAGCCGTCTATAATATAACCCAATACTCTCGTATATGTTGTACCTTGAACATCTTGGTTATGGACACGTATCACTCCACAATCGAATTCAGCCTGTGTGTGCAGTGTGATCCGCACCTGTAAGTGAACGGCATCTCTGGTCAGATGACATTCACCCCCTACTTTCTTCTCGAAGTTGTTAGAAGAATAAGCGACATGCTCCCGGACTTGTCAAAGTACTCCGATGTATCACCCCGACCCCGAGCCCGAATCCCAGTAAGCAGCGCTGATAGCCTTGCCCTGGAGAGTCAGTAGCTTAGGGGTTGATTAATCAAAACAGGTGGGATCCCGTGGGATTTAAGGTCCCAAAGTTCAAGGTCAATGAAGGTCGGACCTGAAGCCCAAAGACTTGATATAAAAAAGTTGAGTGGAAGTTGCCATGAGGACAGGTTCTTAAATAGTCCGAGAAAGAAAAGATGATATACGAGTCTATCGTCATATGTAAGATAAAAAGAAATGTAATCCCAAAAAATGATTAATACCTTGAAGTCATAAAACACATACAACATAAAAACACATACAATACCCAGAAGCCCAGCAAAGCCCCACCAGGAGCTGTGAGCGACTTCCGTTAAAAAGTACTCCGCCGGATCCTGTTCTCAACATTCTTTTCTTCTTTTCCAAACTCTCTCAAACTTCTATTTTGATTAAGCGGTTGCAATATGTCTAGTGTGATTAACCAGACCGATGACCGCCATGGTGCTGGGTGAGTTTCCCCCCCTTGTGTTCTCTGACATCACTCCCCCCCTCCGGCAACGGAAGCCCACCGATTGCCTCAATTCAACCTCAACTTGCCCCCCAAGATTGCTGTTTTGGACGTGGTTTGCCTTCATCTGAATAGCCAATCCCTTCCTGGAACGTTTTCGCAGACTTTCTCTGCTTAAAGAGCTCCCTCGCCCAACCCACCAATTGCCGCGAATGCAAATTCTTCTTTCGGTCAATTAACTGACAATGGATCTCGCATTCAGCACCGTCGAACTTAAAGATGATACTATCATTGTGGTACTAGGTGCATCTGGTGACTTGGCGAAGAAGAAGACCGTTCGTTTCCCCTCCAGGACGCGATGACTCTTAACTTACTAACCAATTGATAGTTCCCTGCACTGTTTGGCCTTGTATGTGCTATTCCGACTGATCATTCTAGTTTTATTCACTGACGTTCTTGTCATAGTTCCGCAACAAATTCCTCCCCAAGGACATCAAGATCGTCGGATATGCGCGGACAAAGATGGACACCGAAGAATACCTCAAGCGCGTTCGCTCGTACATCAAGATCCCCACAAAGGAGATTGAGGATCAATTAGATCAGTTCTGCAAGATGTGCACCTACGTTTCCGGCCAATACGATCAAGATGATTCGTTCATCGGCCTAAACAAGCACCTCGAGGAGATTGAGGACAAGCGCCAATCGAAGGAGCAGAACCGCGTGTTCTACATGGCACTCCCTCCCAGTGTCTTCATTACCGTGTCCGAGCAGTTGAAGCGTAACTGCTACCCCAGGAGCGGTCTTGCTCGCATTATCGTGAGTTTTCCCTGGATTAGCTTACCTGAGACGAATCCCATATTGATACACCGTTCCTTAAACAGGTCGAGAAGCCCTTCGGTAAGGATCTACAGAGCTCGCGCGATCTCCAGAAGGCTTTGGAGCCTAACTGGAAGGAGGAGGAGATCTTCCGTATCGATCACTACCTTGGCAAGGAGATGGTTAAGAACATCCTAATTCTGCGATTCGGCAACGAGTTCTTCAACGCCACATGGAACCGCCACCACATCGATAACGTTCAGGTATGTGATGAACATGATCTTCTACGATCCGGGTTCTAATAGCGGCCGCAGATTACATTCAAGGAGCCTTTCGGCACTGAGGGCCGTGGAGGTTACTTCGATGAGTTCGGTATTATTCGTGATGTTATGCAGAACCGTATGTATACTCAATTGCACTGCCTCGACGTAGAAAAAGATGCTAACAATTTCCTAGACCTTCTGCAGGTTCTCACATTGCTCGCCATGGAGCGCCCCATTTCCTTCTCTTCCGAGGATATCCGTGACGAGAAGGTCCGTGTTCTCCGCGCTATGGATCCCATTGAGCCCAAGAACGTCATCATCGGCCAGTACGGCCGCTCCCTCGACGGCAGCAAGCCTGGTTACCTGGAGGACGATACTG